AAAAAGATCGAAAATCGAATCGAAGAATTGGAGAATCGTGACACCCCTACTGAAAACAGCAATAACTCACCTTTCCTCAGTGCTGCCTCTTTCCTCAGTCTGCGCAGTTTCTCCAGAGATCTCAGAACATCCTGCATCCTCTTTACGTCTGCCTGCTTCTTCCTCACTTCACAGAGAACAGCATCTGCAGCCATCTTCAGCTCTTGTTCCTGATAAATAAACAGATAAACATCTGACCTTCCATTATCATCTTCTGCTTTTCCCCCTTATCATCCCATTGTGACAAAATATACCTACTGTGGTTCACAGTTATCGCGTCTAAATGAACGGTAATATGTCACAGCATGATATGGTCTGCCATTTGTTGTTAAATTATAGGACTTGTTGTCTAAGTTCAATGCTTTTACCATAATTTTTGAATAAAAATCCCCAGACATCACCTGTTAGCTTTACACAACACAAACTAACTTCCATTCACCTCCATTGTTCTGGAGTGGAGGTAGACATTTCACAGACACATTTCTTAAAGCCTGGGAAAATAAAACCAAAATTATCTACATGGACAGATACCAGTGTTTTTTTTCCCCAGGACACTGCTTAGCTGAATCCCATCTCATCTCAGTGTTAGCGGGGAGTGAAGTGCACCATACAAATACTCAGTCATTTTACAGGTTTCTTGTTTGTAGTGGATGAGAAAGTTCCACGTGGAGTTGATGAGCGTGGTGAATACTGAACTAATTAGACCTTAACCAGGAGGCCAACTGAACAAGCTACTAAAGTGAATAACTTCATACATGATATCATGTATGTCTTTACTTTATACTTCTTCTGCCCCCAAGTGGACAAAAGTGAATACATCTTTGAATTCTATGACAAATGTATTCACCTTCTTCTTCTCCTCTACTTTGTGTATCTGTTGCATTCTCCATTTATCTATGGCAGCCTCTTTCTCAGAGAGCAGGTCCTCTCTATGTTTTATCTCCATCTGCTGCAGTTTTCTGGCTCTCAGTCGCAGGGCCCTCCTCTTAGCAACACGAGACAATTTAGCTTTCCAGGTATCTAAACACGGACCGTCACTAAGAACTTTGAGTTTGTCTTGTATCTCTTTCTTCACGTTTAAAGCCATTACATATGAGTCCATCCAAGCACACTCATTTTCCACGTTTTTCTTCAGAGTTTCACAGGACCCTGCCAGCTGAGAGATGAGTTGAGCTGCCCTGTACAGAGCCCCTCTCAGGTCAGGAACACGGCTCTGCTGGGTCTGTGGGATCTTGGAGGTTTTGCCTCTGCTTTGTAAGAAAAGTCTAAGCCACTGTTGATCGTGCTTTCTTTGAAGGCCTGTTGCATCTTCAGTTCGTGTTGTTGTTCCCGGACTCTGGTTGTCATTACCCCGCGGGGAAAACACTGTGCAGCCGAACGGAGCACCACTCTCAGAGAAATCCTGATATTCATGCTGTTGGTGTTTCTGACTAGAGTCCGGGTCATATTGGGTAACGTTAGGCTGAGGACCGGGCCTAAATTGTTGTGTACGATGAAACGCTGAGGCCCCACCATTGCAGTATGTGTTTACCGGAGCGGTGGGAATCATGCTAGGGAAGTGTCTGGGTGGAACACAGCCGAAAGGAGGCGGGGGGACGGATGGGTCAAATCCATACGGAAGGCATAAGCGAGGTCCTCCGAAACCTCGTCCTCCTGTAGACGGTGCGGAGAAATCGCACCTGAATCCGTACGGGGGACCGTCGTATCCCTGTGAAGGGGTCCAGTGTGGAGCAGTGTTGTCCGGCTGTGTCGGTTGATGATCCGTGCTTGGCGGTGTTCGCTTGGCGGCAAATGGTGTCTCCAGATAGCCGCCAGTATAGACAGAAGGCTGCTGTTTATTTGACGCTTGGTGATACGTGTTGTCCATGTCGAATATATGGCAAACCTATTGTGCAACACTAAATAATTACATCACTCTATCAATCCTCCACAGTAGCCATGTTCTTCATGATGTTCTTCTTCTTCTGCTTCTTCTTTGGTTTTCTGACGGGCTACAAACCAACGTTAAAGATGTATGCCGCCACCTACTGTATCGGAGTGTGTAAAATCATGACTATATTGGAATTATATTCTGTTTATTAGACCTTTCAGGGTTTCATTTAAGTATCTGATTAAATCCCTTTGAACCTATATTTGTGTGTCCCCCTATCCCCAACAGACACCCTTCAAACCCTTCCCACATCCATCACCCTGTCTTTCCCTTTCCATATTCATATTAAACCTTCTACAATCCCATCAAGCACGTTTAACACTCCACTTTAACAATTTACCACTGTTTCACACCTTATCAGCAATCTATCTCTTTCATAATCTATTTGTTTAACCTTGTATGACCTAGTCTTGACCTTGTTAGAATTATATCTTCTGCTTTTACTTATCCTACTTCTTACTCTAACACATTTTTGGATTGTATTATAGTCCCTACACTTGATGTTATTGTTCCATATATTTCACAAAGTTTCCACTATTCCCTGCTGAATTATTGATTTTACCTCTGACCTTCTAAAATACCGTTTTTGTTTATTAAACTTTTAGCAAGTTTATCAGCAACCTTGTTTCCCTCTATTCCAACATGCGCTGGTATCCAACAAAAATGAACATCAGTACGTAGCTGTTGTAGGTTTAATAAAATCATGTATATTTCCATTATACATGCTGTGTATACTGATAACCTATTAGTAATTATTTTAGCAATCCTCTTATCGAATTCTGTAATGTATATTCCCACACCTACATGATCATTATTTTCATGTTTTGACCCATCTGTAAATATATTTAAATAGTTATAATAATTTTTGGACACATATTCTTGAGTCAATCTCCCAATATCAAAGTTCTCTTCTCTTTTCTAATATTTGTAGATTAACTTTTGGTTGTGGAAATAACCATGGTGAAATGTTACTGATGATAACTGCTGGACTGTGTTGAATAGTGTCTAGTTTAAAACCTCTACCTGAAAAAGTTCTGTAGAACTGTTGATGCCATATTTCCAGCTTCTCTTCCCTGAATTCTAATCTAATATGTAAGTGATACAGTAGCCATGTTTACGTCCTTCTTTTCCTCCTCTCGTTCTTCTCCTTTTCTTCCTTGTGTTTTCGGCAGATTGTAATCTCAAACTAGAACATTTATAAACAAATTTTGATTGTGCCTGACTCTGGCCTATGACTCTGGCCCATACATTATTG